GCCTGCACAGCTAGATCATCGTAAATGCTCTTGGCAGATGCTAGAAGTCATACTCCTTGAGGATGGTTATGTTTATCGGTAGGGCTTAGCAATGGCGAGCCCAACGAAGACCTTCTCCATGCGTCCAGCCACTTGATGGTCTGACGTGGAGTCTCAGATCCATTGATGATCTGGACCTTGAAGGTGTACTTGCGCTGTTAGCATCTGCTGGAACAGTGCGAAGTTTGTAGGTGGTAGAGCGAGAACTCGATTTCGCATTCATCGAGGTGATGAGAGGAAGGATTGTTTTCGGCAGCTTAGACTCGAAGCTGGTGTAAGCGTCTTTGGCAATTCTTCATGGTGAGGAATAGGTTGAGGGTAGCTAAAGCTATTGTGTTTGTTAACAAATGCACTACGCTAAAAGCTAGTGTAAAGATCTTTCGAGTGTTTTGAGTTTGAGAGAATGAAAGTTTTGAGAGGATTAGAAAGCTTGAAAACTAATCAACGAGAGAGATCCACAATCAAAGGATCGTAGATCTGAACTCCCGGGAACTGTAGAGTGTGATAGAGTAGGTTGCGGTAGCAATCCTACTCACTCCACGATCCAAAACGGACGCGTGAAGATTCGCCTAGCATTTATCTAGTAGCGTGGAAGTACTCCACGCTGGCTAAATTACAGAGCGATGTTTCATCATCACCTAGTATGACTAGAGCGGTCATTGAGAACCCTGTCTCAATGACTATTCGCGAAGGACTACGTCATGAGTCGAACTCAAACCCTATCTAGGATCGAGTCGCGAATAAGGCTAAGAGCCGTGTATTGCAAATTCCTTTCACAGAAGCATGCCTAGTTTTGGCGCCACCATGATTCTGTCATGAGTATAACTCTTAGCATAGTTTGAAGAAAAGTCCGGATGCTTCTTATCAAGTAAGCAACGGAGTGTAATGGTTTTTCGTTTCCCTTTTGCTCTGCTGTTTAAATCTAACATGAGAAGATAGTTTGAGGTCTCTTGTCGTCCGACGTTGATGAGTTGTTTGGACACGGACGAAGTTAGCCCACGATGCTGAAAGATCGTACAGTGTCTAGTTGAGTAGTTGCTAGAGCAATTATCTAATTTGCCGTAGACTTGTTAGTTGCAAAACAATCTTGTTTATACTATTTAGTGAGATATTTCATCACTTAGGTATGAGAAATAGAACGTGGTTCCGTTGAATCTCATCCTGGCCATCCTCAGACGGAGATTTCTCCATCTGAATGATTGAAGTCGAATTCGCAGCGCCTTGTCGACCAGGCAGCCATCTTCTTGTCCATCATGTTTATGTGATCCAACAGATGGAGTCTCTCCTCGTTGTCGAGTTGTCTTCACTTGCGCTTGGCAACATGGTTGCATCGCTTTTCTTCTTGCGATCAGCCCTTGACCGCAGCGTTGGAAAACTTTCTTCATGAAGGACAGAGAGTCCTTTCTTGTGTAGGTCTTGGGTCGTCCGGCTTCGCGTTCCAAGGTCTTGTTCTGTGTTGTACGCTGCTGTTATCGTGTCCAGACGAGGACTGGACTTGGCTTGAGCTTCTTCAGAGTCATCAGTCAGCAGTTTGGAGTGTGGACTCGTGGTAGTTCACACCATTTTTTCTTCGTTCTTAGGAAGAGTGATTGTTGTTGCGAGTAGACTTACTTCTGCTGTTGTTCTTCTTCGAAGGAGCTTGCTTGGTTTCACCGCCCTTGTCAAAGTTTTTGGAGGATTCCATGCGTTCCCAGAATCCAATGGTTTCTCCGATAGGAGCTGAGAAAGGATCGAAGTCGTGTTCGTCCATCTTCTTCATCCACGAGCGGTGAATTCCATGACAAACAACGTCAATGACTTCGTCATGGTTCAACGTTTGTTGGGTCCAAAGGTGGTAGACGAGAAGTTCATCGGTGTCATCCAACTGAGGTTGTTGACATAGCCCGAGTAGCATATCAGCAGGCTTACGCCTCTTGCGGCGCATGAAGCGTTTCTCTTTCAAGAGCCTTTAGGGAAGGACCGCTTCGACACGCATTTATGCCGAACGTGATGTCAGAGTCGTCCAAAGCAGGCTGAGCTGCTCGTTCCAGGCATCTGGAACGTGCTTGGAAAGTGGCTTCGTCTTCACCACCACGTATTCGCGTGGAGAATGCCGTTGACTGCAATCTGGCGCAAGGCATCCAACGTAGTTCACGGTGGCCTGCACAGCTAGATTCGTAACTGCTTTTTGCAGAGCTAGAAGTCATCTTCCTTGAGGAGGTTATGTTTTCGGTAGGCGAAGCAATGGCGAGCCCAACGAAGACCTTCTCCATCGTCCAGCCCACTTGATGTCTGAACGTGGAGTCTCAGATCAATTGATGTTGGACCTTGGAAGGTGTACGTTGGCGCTGTTAGCATCTGCTGGAACGTTGACAGTGCGAAGTTTGTAGGTGGTAGAGCGAGAATCGTCGATTTCGCATTCATCATCGAGGTCGATGAGAGGAAGGATTGGTTTATCGTGCAGCTTAGACTCGAAGCTGGTGTAAGCGTCTTTGGCAATCTTCATGGTGAGGAATAGGTTGAGGGTAGCTGAAAGCTATTGTGTTTGTTAACAAAATGCACTACGCTAAAAGCTAGTGTAAAGATCTTTCGAGTGTTTTGAGTTTGAGAGAATGAAAGTTATGAGAGGATTAGAAAGCTATGAAAACTAATCAACGAGAGAGATCCACAATCAACGGATCGTAGATCTGAACTCCCGCGGGAGACTGTAGAGTGTGATAGAGTAGGTTGCGGTAGCAATCCTACTCGTTCCACGATCCAAAAACGGAACGCGTGGAAGATTCGTCTAGCATTTATCTAGTAGCGTGGAAGTACTCCACGCTGGCTAAATATCGAGAGCGATGTTTCATCATCAACCTAGTATGACTAGAGCGGTCATTGAGAACCCTGTCTCCAATGACTATTCGCGAAGGACTACGTCATGAGTCGAACTCAAACCCTATCTAGGATCGAGTCGCGAATAAGGCTAAGAGCCGTGTATTGCAATTTCAAACGAATCCAAGGATGCCAGTGTGTCAAGCAGCCTCTGTTTAATCGTCAACCAACAGTGCAAGCCTTCAAGTCTTCATTTTTATTTCTCGTGACGTGTTTGTCCAGACACTGGTCACTACAGCAACACCTCTACACTATACCACACTCAGCACCAAGTCATCATGGGTGCTAACTGGTAAGAGCAAGAGGAAGAAGCAACAGCAGCAGCGACAACAGCAGCAGCAGCCACCACCACAGGATTTGGCCACACTGCCGGCAACAACTCCACCACCGGCAACTCAACAAGGTGCCACCAAGTAGTCACAGAGCAAATGGTGGACATCGTAGTCTATGGACTACCCAAGTCTTCGAACCATTTGAAGAAGGCGCATGATGAAACTGTAGTCTTCTGCAAACGTTTGGAATTGTCGGAAGAGTTTCAACACACTGTGGGAACAACTCTGACGCAGACTGTCACCAAGCAATCCAAGTCCAGGAAGCGTAAGACTTATGGTCAGGGTTCTTCTTGCTCTGGATCTGGATATACTGTGAGTATGGTAAGTGTGGTCACTCTACCAAAAACTAGTGGCCTCATCAAGCAAATGGTGGCATCAGCTAAAACTGGAAAGTCGTTTGACAAACCCAAGTATGGAAACAAGACTTGGAAGGGTTCTGCCGATGATGCCAAGAAGAACAGCAAGAAGGACTTAGCTGACTTTGTCACCAAGAGTGTCCAGGAGGCACTCAAGAACGAACTCAACGCTATCGGTATACAAGAGGCGCTCTTTACGGCTGAATCCAACAGCTCCTTCTTCGAACACATATAGACTCATAAGGTACATACTGTAGTACGGGGGTGGCTCAAACCAACTGATATTGGCTTATCTCGGGTTTTCCCGCATTATCGCTGAAACATCAAGTGGTGGAGCATGGTAGCAGGTTGTAAGAGGTGGTAAAGAGTACTAGAAGGTGGTGAAAGTATGCCCTTTATACTTATATGTAACTTTAAATGCACCATCTCCCCCAGGGAGTGTGGTGCCAGTGAGGGAACCAGTGGTGGTCTCCTGTGAAACCAATCCCGCTTAGGCCGGGAGCGGTTACCCAAAGCTTCGGCTGCAGCACAGTGATGATCCGTCCATTGGGGCCATATCCGTTATCGATAAAGACTTTTGTTGCAGAGCTGTGATACGTTGGCAGAAAGCACCTAACCCTAACCCTAACCCTTGGAATTGCACCCTTCTTTCAAGCTAGCCCTAGCAGCAACACACGACTGTGTCGCGTGTTGTATCACGTGTTGCGTAGCGTGTTGCCGCTAATCCAAGAAGCTGTCATTTTCCCCCTCATTGTAAGCTAGCCCTAGCGACTGTGTCGCGTGTTGCCGCAAATACATAATTTACAACTGTCAAAACATTTACAGCTCCTGCTGGCTTATTGTGCTATGTGCTGAGTGCACTAACCTTAAATTGGATACATGTTAATATGGCTCACACTGGTATAAAGGATTTTGTGCGGAAGCAGAATCCTAGAATACTTATTTAGTTCTTGCTGACTTTTTAGTATTCTAATAACCCTACCCTTTTACCTGCAGAACCACTGGAAACAGGAAATACAATTAAAGGGGTCGAGGGCTCTGGCAGTAAAACTGCCAAGGTAAAAAGTGCTTTGGTTGAATCATCTGAACAATGTTTGGGAGAGTGGTAGCAGAGATTGATTGAAATTCGTCAAAAAATCATAAATGTTTATGTATTATTCTTGGAAATCCAAAGTGTCATTTTGGAAATGAACGGTTGTGGCATTTTCTGTCCAGCACTTCTCTGCATTCCCAACAGCAGTTGTATACATTCCACACACCACTTGCAAACTTGGTCTTTCTGTTTGCTCCCCAAACACAATTTCAACAAGGGCTTGAAGATTAGAAAGGAATTGGAATGCGTAGCACTCTGTTGGGTCCAAGCATGTTTCATAGGAAATCCAATTGGAACAGTCCTCCGAGTCAAAACGTTCACTACAGACTGATGGGACCTCCATTTCATCCTCTGAATCGCTCGAGGAGTCTGTGCTCGAAGAGTTGCTGCTTGATGAGTCTGTGCTTGAGGAGTCCGTCTCATTCTTGGCTTCAATGAACTTGCCCAGTGCCCATGGTATCTGTTCGCATGCAAGCATCATGATGCTAAGCCTCTCAGTACCAGCAGGGCAAGATAAACAGTTCCCAAAGTATTCCTTCACAAAGAGGCCATCAAAGGATCCATGTACAACTTTTTCGCCATCCATGAAGAGGCCAAATTGCCCAGGGGCTTGCATGCCATGCTCCTCCCTGTTGTACATTGTAAATGCGTAGCAAGAATCAGCTGGGATGCAAACCTCCTCAACAATTGTTGCAAAGGCATATTCCTCTGGGTACGTTTCTTGCTCAAAGAGAATCGCACCAGTAACATTGTCCATAAGATTCCAAACAACATCTCTGGGGAGCCTATCAAGGGTCAGCGATAGGCGTAGGAGTGACATGCCAGTGGGGCACTCCTTTGATCCAGGTAGTGAGTAAACTGTGGTGACTCCGCCAATGCCATCTTGAGGAGTTCCGACAGCCAGCTCCCTTCCACTTGAAGACATGGAAACTGGGTAATGGGTCAATGGAAAAGGATTACTCACGTCATTCCAAGATTCAGCTTCAGATTGCCACTCAAAAACTCTAACAAGTGTACCAACCCTGAAGGCGATCATTGATCCATCACCTGAAAGTGACAAGGCATTGTTTACATAAGGGCGATCACTGTCAATGCAGTCTGTGATATTTGTTGTGGGGGAAGCCCGAGGCACCCACTCCCCTTCGTCATTGAGTGCTTGGATATGAAGCTGTCGGTCCGAACACACTGGCAAGCCATAGCCAAGAACATTCCCATCTCGACTCCATGCCAGTGAAATAGACATGTGAACATTGTTCACATGAGACTCAAACCGAAACTCAGTTTCAACATCATAGTCACCACTTAACTCATCCCAGGCCATGACCACAATGTATTCATCAATAACAACGGGGAAGTTTGTGATTGGGTGTATTCCTTTGATTTGGGATTGCACAGCGATTCTGCTACCATCTCCACTCAATGACAAGGAATGGACATCAGCCAGGGTACCATTTCTTGTAACATTTAAGTCTGCTCGAAACTCAAATAATCCTTCTTGCGCCTCATAAACCCGAATAGCTTTGGGAGCCTGACCAGATACAAATAAAGATGTTCCAAGAACTGTACCATCGTCGGACAAAGCAAAGTCATAAACCAGTGGGATCTCTTGTGAAAGTGTACAACCATGAAAGTTGCATCTGTAGATTCGAAGAGTTCGATAGCCATCTTGGACAGCAACTGTAAGGGGGGCTCTGAAGCTTGGGTTGCTGGCCACGTTGAAGGGTCCAGAAGAGAGGCCTAGTACTCCTGTTCCAAATCTTGTGTTTGGGGACCCCAAGATAGTATCTCGAAGGACCCAGGAGGACCCAACCTTGTCATAGATGCGGACACGGTCCTGCAACAGCTCCGACACAGCCAAGGACCCCCTGGAAAGATCCACGGCATAACCAGAATAGGAGCCGGCATCTCCATTCAATAGAGTGCTTTGCCATTTATCATTTGCCTGCTTGCAGTAGTTGAATCCTGTGTTGACATAGCCATCTGTTTCAGCCCCACAAACATACTGAGATGTGCTTACACAAGTAGATTCACAGCAATCCCCGCCATCCATTTTGAACTCAGGTATATTGAAGAAAGGGTCGCAGTGTCCATTGCGGACTGAGGAAATGTGTAAGGAGAAAGCATTGATGGCGCACATGATTCCATGAGCTTAACTTACCGGGTGGGATTTCACAAAGACTTCCAAAAGAGTCAAGGGAGCACACACATTCCCCTTCAAGACATTTGCCATCATAAAGGCAAGGGTTTGAGGACTCCTCACAGACGTGACAAAGAAACTCAGTAGAAATGCCATTCCCAATTCCCTGATTCTGGTTATCAGCTATGGCTTCTTCAGCGAAGAACCATGAGAATCCAACTGGAGAGCTAGAGCTCCAGTGTGTCCCCATTTCCATGTAGTCACTGAAGAAGGCAACAGAGAAATTGGCAGAGAATCCCTTGAATCCATGGAAGGTGTACTTGAAGAAGTTTCCAATATCAGAGCCAACATCATCCTGGCCATCAGATAGAGCATTGGAAGGGATCCTTCCGGCATGAGGCAAGAAAACAGAAGAAGTCAAAGCCCAACGCCCACCAGTGAACATGACCACATCATATTCGCCACTCTCATACTCATGGATGTAGACTGGTCGGTGGTATGCTTCCACCAGTGAGCCATTGCCCAAATCAATGGACTGGTAGCCACTTGCCCAATCCCTAGTACTGGCAAACTTATCAGTCCGAGCATCAAGGTCAATCCAAGAGCAGGGGTGTACAAACTCGCATCTCAGCCCATACCATCCATCCTCACAGTCACAGACAGCATTGCTGCAGGTTCCTTTGCCGCCACAGTCATCGCTTCCTTCGGCATCCTCGTTGGAGCAGTCAAAGCAAAAGAGGCTAAATGGCTCCAGCACCACTTCGCGGTGTGTTTCATCACGGGCAAACCACTGGATTCTCCCAGTCTCTGTGATATCATAGGTGTCTGTTTCGGAAGACCTGGCAATCCAGTCACAAGGACCTGAATCATTCTGATTGTCCTTTGGTTGCACCCGAAATGTCCAAGCATTGATGTGATTGCAGTACCCAAAGACACCTCTACCAGGCGTGTCAATTTCCACAGAGCGTCTCTCCACGTACTCCGCTCGCCACTCTAGCCCGGACCCAGTTGAGAAATCCAAATCATAAAGGCCGTTAAATGTGCCAAGGGAGGGAACAAAAGTATCTCCCATATTCACAATGATGCTGTTGCACATGTATTTGCCTGATGTCCGAAAGACCACAATAGTAATCCATCCAGCCACCATAACAACAAGGATCGAAAGAAAGACCCCAGCCTTCCACGAACGTTGTAGAAACCCTTGCTCTTCTGATGGCTTGCGGACTTGGAAGTCGGCCACATCATTGGCAGCACTCTGGAGCCTGTTTCCCATGAAGCCTGCCTTGGCGAGGTCGAATGCCACATTGTCGATGTCTGCCATGAAGTGAAGTGCTGCAAAATTGAGCATGATTCCCAATACACTGTCAACTTGCATGGTCAAGATGTAGATGGTCAAAAGTAGGAGAAGGCCAGCCATGAGCTGAGCAATACAAGACAGAAGCCAAGTAGCATAGGTTGCTCCAGGATGTTTTTCGAGCACCTCTGGATGGAAGCCATCCTTAAATCTGGAGAGAGAAAATTTGGTTGGTAACGTGAGAGACGGATGAAAAAGGGACATGCAGGAGATTAAAAGGCTTACTTTGCGACAACTTCAAGGAGGTCTGATTGAAATGCCAAGGCCTGGAAAAGGGCGACACCTTGAGCAATAGTCACAATCAAGTCAACATTGGGTGGCATGTTGAGTCTATTTCCACTCCAGTCAACAATGTCAATCAATGTCAGCAGAATAGTTGCGATCTGTTGAAGCCATGTACGAATAGTGAGTGAGTTGGAAACAACATGATGGCAAAGCTAAAATCATCCCTATTTTGACACTTACCTGGATGACATAGACAAAGATGGCATACCAGAATGCCAAGCTATCGGCACTGCACAAGTAGAAGAGAGAGTAGGTACTTTCACTGTAGGGATTATGCCACTCCGAGTCATCCTTCTCGTCCTCGTCACTGGCCGAATTCATTGTTGGCAATGCACATTCCTCCAGATTCTGTTTGTTTTGACTCTGAGCCAGCATTTTTGGCTTGAGAAGGTGCGCCAACATGTCAAGATCCTTGGGGGTCAGCGATTCCATGATGGTAGAAACCCCACTGGCGACGGTGAAAGACGATGATCTGGCCATGGCAAACCCTTCTGCTGGAGACTTTTCGGGTTGTTCGAGATCCATCATTAAGGAATCGACATCCACTTCATCCTCCACCTGCAGATGGTGTTGGCTTTGGCTCTTGTTGGTGGGAGGTACGGTCATTCCGACCCCTTTCTTGTCTGATAAGGTCATAAGTATGCTGGTGTTTGGGCAGCTTTTATTGGAAGTATCAATCACGGCGGAATCTTGGCTTCTCTTAGGGCACTAACCAAAGTTTAGGCTGTTGCTAGGGAGACGAGGGGTATGATATTGGTTGGAGAAACGACTTGGAAGAAAGCTGGGTAGTAGCAACAAGGTGCAGCTGATAATTTGTGGGAGACTTTTAAACTTTGTGTGGGCGCCACCAAGTGACAACGACAACGACAACTCGATCAAAGGCTGTGCAAAAATGGTGGTTGCAAAAGTTCTTTCTCCCTGTGTGGTCATTTATTTGTTTATCGATAATCGATACCCGTGGTTGCCAGTTTCTCGAGTTCTCATTACAGACATACATGTGACCGAGAATGAGATTGATCCGGTACTTGAAAGCTTTAACATACCTCCTCGTCGAAGGAAAAGGCTCCCTGACGTCGACTCGTGCGCACTTACGCAATCGCTATTGCCCTTCGTTGTTTGTCTCCAGTTGTCACACTGGTACAGACTACGGTATGACCACGAGGTCTAAAATGACAAGATAAATGAGGTTCTTCGAAGGTTCGTGCGCCGAGCTTCTTCTTCTCTCAAACTCTTCGAGGCACGAATGAGCAATGCTAAACTTCCGAATGAACACGTCAGTTTGCATAGTCTACAACTGACATGTAATACTACTCGAGTACTAGCTAGCTAGCTAGTAATAGAAAGCCCAACCACGAAAGCAAGCAGCGCGGCAGCAACACATTGCAGAGTTCTTCTTATCGAATCACGAGAATGTGTGTTAGCATCCCGGTCGCGGCCAAGCAGATATCTATAGAAGAGGGCAGCTACAGCAACGACTCAATAGTCAAGAAGTCTAAAAAGATTTCAAGTCCACGGAAAGCTTTCCATTGTTTTCCCCTTCCGTCAGTTGTCATTCTTCTCCCATAGAATTCAAGCTTCACAATTTTGCTTTTTCACTCTTTTTTCCGCATTGCTCTGATCATCATGTCGTTGGACAGTTTTCAAGAGATCTTTTCGTCCTTGTTCAGTAGAGGAGGAGGTCGACGTCCCCAAGAACCTCACCAGCCAGGTTTAGATGATCATGATCATCTCAAGAACCAAGCTGCTGCTCACCAAACCAATGCTGCCGCCAATGACAATCTTAAGCAACCACCTAGTTGGCTGCTGCAGCCCCTGGCTGATCCTGACAATCAAGTGCGATTGACCATTGTCCAAATCACAGATGTATACACCTTGGACAACTTTGCGTCCCTCAGAACCATGATTCAGACCATTCGAGCTTCCAGGCAAAACAGTGCCAATGACAAGGTAATCACCATGCTTACAGGAGACTTTCTAGCTCCGTATCTCTTGAGTTCCATTGATCATGGTAAGGGAATGATGATGGCCATCAACGAGACACCCATTGATTACCTTACCTGGGGCAACCACGAAGCTGATATCCCCCATAAACATGTCTGTCAGCATGCCAAGAACTACCAAGGAACGTTTATCAACTCCAACATGCAGTCCCACGATACCATGCAGTATCCAAACAGTGTTCCTTACGAGATTATTCAAGTCACCGATGGACGGCACACGCGCAAGATTGGACTCGTGGCGGTTCTATCCAACGACCCCAAACTGTACTCCCACTTTAAGCAGCCCGCCTTTGGCGGAGCCACCATTGAAGATCCTTGGGAGACCTTGGCACATTACAAAACGATTCTCGAACAAGAACATGGATGCGACCTGGTCATTCCCCTCGAGCATTGCTACGTGCCAGAAAATACCCGGACTTGCCAACAGTTTGATTTCCCATTGATTCTGTCGGGACACGACCATCACCGCATCGATCAGGTCATCCAAGGGACACGGCTCATCAAACCGGGTATGGATGGTGTCCACGCCAGTGTTGTGGAAATTGTCTTTGACAAGCGTAGCCCCAAGCCGAGTATTCGTTCCACCTTTGTGGAAACGGCACTCTATCCGCCGTGTCCCATTCTGAAGCAAAAGACGGACGCTGCCTATGACGTCCTCTTGCCACTCCGCAACACCATGCTCGCCAGTGTCTTGCCGAGTTTCCGGCCACTCACATCCAAAAATGCACGGGGATCCACCTGTACCATGGGAAAACTGGTTTGTAGCATGCTCAAACAAGCACTCTGGCAGTCACAGCAACGATCCAACAGCAATGACGACGGTGACAACTCTTTGGCACCGGTGTCTTTGGCACCGGTGGTAGACGCGGTGATCCTCATGGGAGGCAACATTCGTGGCAACGAGGATTATCCAGACGACAGCTTCTTCTCACTCGAAACCCTCGAGGCTGAAATCAAGTCCGATGAAGTCATTGGATTCGTCGACATGCCCGGGCACATTTTGGCAGCAGGGATTGAAGCCACGCACAGTGGAGAACCCATTCCAGGTTGGTTCCAGTACGACGATGGCATTGCCGAAGCAAACGGAAAAGTTACGACTGTGGGAGGCAAACCGCTTGAGCCACACCGTGTCTATCGAGTGGCGACCAAAATCAAGGATCTCACGAATGGACAAAGGTAAGCTTGCACATGCTTGAGCAGTGCAGTGGCGCGGCGCCCCAGCAAAAGAACTAACATGTTGCAATTTCTTTTTCGGGTTCTCACTTTTATGGTTCAGTCCTCCATTCACGGCCTACTACAAGGTACACCCCGAACTGTTGCCATCCAAGGGACAGTACATCAACATTCATAGCGAGCTAATGGCCTTCTTCGCCCGAGGCATGTTTCGAAAGCTGTGGGAGGCAACCGGGGATCTTATTAATCCCGAGGTTGCAGACGTGACAGTACACGACAATCAAAAACCAAGTTCTCCGGAGCGGTTAGAAGGAAAACTACGCTTGTCCGTGTTGGATCGGGATCAGGATGGGTACGTGTCGGTCGACGACATTCACCTCGCACTCAGAGATTATTTGGGGCTCTCGGTCGACGACAACTACAAGACGTTGGCGGAACACGTCCATGAGTTGGCAGATGCAACGGGCAACGGACAAGTGACGGTGGAAGACTTTGAAGTCTTTTGTAGAACGGGCATACCGCGGGAAGTCAAACTGCAAGAACCCAAGTGGAACCAAGTCTTTCCCGATCCATTACCCGAGATCAGCCCCGTGCATGGACTGCATGGACTGTACAGTGGTAAGAGCCACCTCTTGGATGCTCTTAGCGACACGACAGCTGGAGAAAGCAGTACTGGTACCGAGGCCAAGGACGATACGAACGACGATATCACCGGTACAGACCAGGACGACAATGAAAGTAGCCTTGGCGACCACTTCCCGGACAACAGACCGTTCATCAAACGACACAACACTGAACCAACCGAACCTCTTGCAGCCATGGCAGAAGGCGCAGCAGAGCCACCGTTGTCAGAGATCACCGTTCAGCTAGTCGAGTAGTCGAGTAATATCTATAATCGAACCACTTTCTGAATCCCTCTAGCTACATTTTTAATGATTCCGGTGTAGTACCGGTAGACAGAGGGCGCCAATGATCCAATGAGAAGATGCCGCGTCCCTCGCAACCAGAGAACCTTTGTGCCGAGTTTACAGCCATGAAGCGAAAACAGATCGACGTGTGGAAATACCACGACCTTGCACTTATCGAACAGGAAGCGGGAAAGACGTATGTCGTGGACTTGGTTCGTCGTTATGGTACCGGTACCGGTATCGGTTCAGCCACCTGTTCGAGCCACAATGTACAAGAGGGGCGTGCCGTGATTGCTGGAAAGGATGCAAGCAACTTTACCGCAATTGCGAGCGCAACGACGACGGAACCAGACTACGTATTCCGCCAAACCCTTCTGGGACGGGCTTTGCTCGCATCTCCCTCTCCGACGCCGCCCTGCCGCAATCGTCCCTCTCACCGCTTAGTATTTGTGAGGAAGGCAGAGTAAGAATCGTACCTCTTATAGATAGAGCTGCTAGTAGCCATTAGGTAGAAGCGAGAATGAACACCTGTGCCAAGCTGGCGCTCGCTAGAATCAAGTGAAGAAGCAGCAGACCAGCTCCATCTATCAGTATTTTGACGACGCTGTGGCTGTTTGTTGGGCTATGGGGTGTCTCAGTTGTTAGCAGCAGAGGTCAAGTATGACCAACAGAATGCACCACTTTCCCAACTCCACCTGTCTGACACTTATCCGGGTTGCCAACATACGAGGAACCTCCATAACAGAACCAATTCGCCGTAGGTCGTTCTATCTGCCCCCCTAGGGCAATTTCAACAAAGGCCTGATGATGGGAAAGGAACTGGAAGGCATAGCACTCAGATGGTTCCAAGCAAGTTTCATAGGAAAGCCACTCAGTACAGTTTGTACCATCCCAGTGATCAGAACAAGTTGAGGGGATCACTACTTCAGAATTTCCAGCAGTAGAGGCAAGCCACCTGTTTGTAGCATTATTTGTGCCAACCATCTGCAATAGTGCCCATGGTATTGGTTCGCATGCCAGCATGATCATGCTGAAAGGCACAGTGCCAGCAGGGCAAGAGGGGCACTCCCCAAAGTACTGTTTCGTAAAAAGACCATCAAAGGAACCTTTTCCAACATTCTCACCATCCACGAAGAGTGCAAATTGTCCCGGCGCCTGCAACCCGCGTCTCCGTTTGTTGTACATTGTAAACACATAGCAAGAATCAGCCGGGATGCATGTTTCCTCCACAATTGTTGCATATGCATACTCCATTGAGTATGGTCCTTGTTTGAAAAGGATTTCTCCTGTCCTGTTGTTCGCCAGGTCCCCTGAAACATCCAACGGGAGCCTATCAAGGGTCAGGGAAACACGCAAGAGTGACATGCCATGGCCACATGGTTTTCTTCCAGGAAGAGAGAAGACACCTGTAACTCCTCCAATGCCATCTTCAGGGGCACCGATTGCTATCTCCTTGCCATTAGAGGACATGGCAACTGGGTAGTGAGTCAAAGGAAATGGATCAATAACATCATTCCATGATTTTGTAACAGAATCCCATGCCATCAGCTTAACCTTGGAACCAACCCTGAAGGCAACTCTGGATCCATCAGCAGAGACTGCCAATGCATTGTTCCTGGCAGGGCGCTCAGTATCAGTGCAATCTGCAGAGTTCATTGCTGGAGCCCATCGTGGCCCCCACCTACCTGCATCATTGCGAACTTGGATGTGAAGCTGAGAGCCGAGACATTTTGGATAACCATAGGCTAGAATGGTCCCATCTTGACTCAATTTTAGTGAAAGTGCATAGTCCACAGTGTTGTCTTCAGATTCAAAGAGAAACTCAGCCTCAACTCCGTATATATCAAATGCTTCATTCCATGCCATGACGACAACGTATTCATCGGTTGCCACAGGATAGTTTGTGCTAGGGTCGACTTCCGTAAGCTGGGATTGCACTGCCAGTCTGCTACCATCACCATTCAACGACATTGAAAGGACATTTGCTGTGACATTGTTTCTGGTAATGCTGACATCTGCCCGGAACTGGAAGAGACCATTCACAGTATCATAGATTCGAACCGTGTTGGGTGCCTGGTTCCCCACAAGCAAAGAAGCTGCCAGGACAGTCCCATCATCCGACAAATCAAAGTCGAACACAAGCAGCGTTGGGAATTCCTGTGTTTGGGTACATCCGTCGAAGTCACATTTGTAGACTCGGAGAATTCGAAAGGAGTCGGCTACCACAACAGTAAGTGGAGCCTTGAAGCTTGGGTTGCTGACCACATTGAATGGTCCAGAAGAGAGGGCCACACGTAAACCAAATCTGGAGTTTGGAGATCCCATGATAGTATCTCGAAGGACCCACGAGGACCCAACTTTGTCGTAAATTCGGACACGATCCTGCAAAAGCTCAGACACAGCCATAGAACCCCTGGAGAGATCCAAGGCAAAACCAGAGAAGGAACCTGCATCACCATTTAACAGATGTCTTTGCCACTCATCTTTTGGTTGTTTGCAGTAGTAGTAGCCAGTGCTGACATAGCCCTCCCCTTCGGCACCACAAATGTATTGTGAGCTACTCTCACAGCTTGACTCACAGCAATCACCCCCATCCAACTTAAACTCGGGTACATTGAGAAAGGGGTCACAGTGACCATTGCCAACTGTGCGAAGACTCGATGAGGAACCATGATCTTTCTCAAGACTTTGTTTTAAGACAGATGAACCTACCGGGAGGGATTTCACAAAGACTGCCGAACGAGTCAAGGGAGCACTGGCATTTCCCTTGGTTGCACACTCCGTCATACAGGCATGGGTTCACATCATCATCGCAACTGTGGCAGAGGAATTCTGTATCTACGGACTTGCCAATATCCTGGTTCTTGTAGTTTGCCTTTGCCTCTTCAGCATGATACCAGTGGAAGCCAACTGGAGAACTAGAGTCCAAGTGTGTACCAATCTCCATGTAGTCACTCAGGAAGGCAACAGAGTAGTTGCCGCTGTAACCCCTGTATCCATGATAGACATGCTTGAAAAAGTTTCCAATGTCAGAACCAGCGCTTTCTTGGCCAACTGGCAACTGGTGATCACTGATCCTTCCACCATGTGGCAAGAACTTGGATGATGTCAAAGCCCAGCGCCCTCCGGTGAACATCACCACATCATATTCACCACCACGGCTATATTCGTGGATGTACACTGGTCGATGGTATGCTTCCACCAGTGAGCCATTACCCAAATCGATGGACTGGTAATTGCTTGCCCAATCTCTCGTACTGGCAAACTTATCAGTCCTCGCATCCATGGTGATCCAGGGGCAAGGACTAACAAATTCGCATCTGAGACCATACCAGCCATTTTCACAATCACAAACAGCATTTCTGCAGGTTCCCTTTCCACCACAGTCGTCACTTTCTCCCTCTTTGGCACAGTCAAAGCAAAAGAGGCTGAACGGCTCAACGACAACTTCACGGAATGTGTCGTCGTGGACAAACCACTGGCTTGTTGCCGTCTCTGTAATATCATAGGTTTCTGTTTCGGAGGATCTGGCAATCCAGTTGCAGGGATTTCCCTTGTGATTGTTGTCGTTTGATTCAATCCGAAATGTCCATGCCTTGATTTCATAACAATATCCAAGGATGCCTCTCCCAGGAGTATCAATTTCCATGGACCGTCTCTCTACATATTCCGCTCGGCGCTCCATTCCACGTCCCGAAAACGCTAGATCGTACATGCCATTAAAGGGCCCGAGAGAAGGTACAAAGTCGTCACCCATATTGACCATGATGGTGTTGCAGACATAGCGTCCTTCAAATCGGAAAATGACAATGGTGACCCATCCGGTCAGCAACACGGCAATAATCATGAAAAAGATGCGCGTCTTCCATGCCCGGAGGAATCCTCGTCCCGGGTCGTATCGTTTCCGTACTCGAAAATTGGCGACCCGGTAGGCAGCAACCTGTAGCCGATCCCCCACAAAACCTGACTTTGCCAGATAAAAAGCCACATCGTCAATATCAGCCATGAAATTGAGTGCGGCAAAGTTGAGCATGATTCCCAGGACATTTCCAGTTTGTACGGTCAAAATGTAGATTGTGAGGAGTAACAAAAGTCCTGCAAAGAGCTGTGCTATACAGGACAAGAGCCATGTCGAGTAGGTAGCTCCTGGATGTTTTTCGAGCACTTCGGGGTGGAAACCATCTTTGAATCTATGAGCAGAAATGCATATTACATAGATGAGTGTTGCAAGCATTGAGCGCTTGTGCTGGAGAAAACTAAACTGTACGGCAGACATGCAAACGGGTATGATATATACTCACTTTGAGACGACTTCCAGTAGGTCTGATTGAAAAGCCACAGCCAGGAAAAGGGCCACTCCTTGGGCAATGGTCACACTCAAGTTGACATTTGGTGGCAGGTCGAGTCTGTTGCTGCTACCCCAGTCCACGACATCAATCATGGTGAGCAGAATGGCCGTAATCTAATAATCAACAAATGAAGAAGAAAGATCATCAGTGGTGAAACAAGGGACCAACAAGCAATCATGCAATCATGCAGTTCAGTACCTATCAGACTTCTGTATTTCTACCTGCCCAACCTTACCTGTAGTATGTAAACCAAAACAGCATACCAAAATGCAGGACTATCGATACTGCACAAATAGAGTAAAGAATAGGTGCTCTCGCCAAAGGGTGCATGCCATTGTGGGTTTCTATTGCGGCTGCCCGTCCTTCCTTCTTCGAGATCGGTGGTACTTGTGGAGGCAATTTCTTGTACAAATTCTTCTCGTGGATCATCATCATCATGATCATCGTCATTGATACAATCCGATTTTGTGTCGTCTATCATCTGATCCATCAACAGAGGCCGGAGAGCCTGTGCCAGTCTGTCAATGTCCCTGATGGACAGGGATTCCAGGACAATGCTACTGCTACCAGTACTACCACTACCACCACCACCAGAATCATCATTAGTACCTGCATACTCCAGGTTGGAAAAGGAACCAGTCACAATCACTTCTCCCTTTCCCATGGATCTCCTCCTGTCTGGTAGAATAGACATACTACTGGTAGTACCACCAATGGTGTGGGGATGTGCTGGTATACCTCCACTACTGGTAAATGCACTCTCTGCTGGATGGTTCATTCTGGCTTCAGTATACTATAGGTATTATACTCGATCGATCAAATAAACAGAGCTCACAATGACCTCGACAGTTATAGCTATTGATGGATAGCTAACAGATGGACGCAGAGTGCATGGATGGATGCTTCACCTCTGATCGAGCGAGTTGCCGTTTCGAAGAGGCAGAAACAAGAAATGCGTTTCATTGCTCGAAATCGCGCCGGATATGACTTGTGTTTTAAAATCGGTATGTTCCGATTTCTATACTTTCGGTTTGGTGACCGGTACCAGTACAATTTTAAAATAGTACTAGACATCGAGAAGTTTGAGTCAAAGACTACGGAATTAAGAATACACGGTTCGTTCTGAAGAACACTTCGGACCGGTACCGGTACAGAAGAGGTTGAGCAGTACTGGTGGCAACATCACTTTCAAGTCGCGCCACATGAGGGCTCAACGTGTCATTGCTATCTACTCTGTGATCTGTGATGCATGGATACGAACATGTACTTGGATGTAGTCTAGCTAGCTAGCTAGCTAGTAGAGACAAAGCATTGCTGGGAAGCTGCGACCAGCAATGGACTCGAATCCCTGCTGGGCGGCTGAGCGCTGTACCTTGCGTAATACTAATAAGTGAGCGAACGTACATGTAGACGGTAAGCAGCAAGCAACCCTGCGGATCGTACCTAGGTTCTTTGCTAATGAGATCAGATGATGAAGCAAGGGATGGCTATAAGGGATCAGCGTAAAGGTTGGTGTACAGTATGACGTACTGACGTAACGTTATACATGCCTCGGCATTGGCTGGCCCAGAACAGGCAGATACATACATGTGCTGCAATGGACGGCCGTATTGGTACGGAGCTACCAGCCAGTAGACTACACATTCTGCCTCGGATCCAAGACGGCCTTTGGCCAGCTGCACTTGCCTTGCCTAGCCTAGCCTAGCCTACCTACGTCATGATCCACAGCCTCTCTAATAGATAGGTCGCGGAGTGGAATGCGTCAGGGGCGTACAAGCTGGCCATTGGTAGCTGTATTTCCGAGGCCACTTTAGATCCTTATCCCCCATCAACACGTGGTACTGTATCTTCGCTCCTGGCTGAGGACGATCATAGGTACTAAGTTGATAATACCTAACTAACTAGATAGCTACTCCGAAAAGATATGTATAATATAAGTCATTCTAATGTTACAAAAAGTGGAAATTGGTAGAGTTTGTGGGAAAGATGATCAGTAAGATGATCAGTAAAGATGAGGAAGATGTGCTCAAGAAGTATGAGTGCGTCCAAAGGCAGGCCAAACGGGTCGCTTTCCCTGCATCAGGCGTTTCTTGTCGCTTTTTCTGCTGCTTTTACTACTGCTGCTGGGAGTGGTGGCAGGAGACTCGGAATTCTTGAGAGTTTGAAAGGCTTCAAAGGCAACTTCGCCATTGTCTTGCTGCGCATACATTTCCAGCATGGCAATCATGTCGTGAGAATTCATCTGTTGCATCCTGGCGGCCACGGCTTCACCTTGGGTCTTGCTGCTGCGCATGCTGCCGGTAGAGGATCGCACCGAGCTCGATTGGCTGCGCTTGCTGCTGGAGTTCATGCTGTTGTCCTTGAGAAACATCTTGTTTATTAAAATAAAATAGAATTGATGAGCTTTTGATTTGTTCGTTGGAGCTTTCTCGAGTTGGAAGATTTTGAAATTGTGAGGAGAGCGAAAGGGGAGGAGCAAGGTGCAGAGAAGAGCCAAGAGAAGGGAGAAGGGATGTATGTCAACCAATGCTGCTCATAAAAGGGCTGGAAGAGCTGCTGGAAGCAAGCGCTTCAAGCTTCAAGCAACACGAACCAAATCTTGCTCACGGAAAAAAAAACAGTTTGGTATCCGAGTTCTTCTAAAAGAGATGCTCAAGAACCTTCATTCTGCATCATTGTTAATTCAATGGACATCACTTTCTGACTGGCCGTCATTAGGCCAAAAGAGATAATGACAGTACAAAAATGCAGTTGAATATTGTAGAATAGACATTCCTTATGTTTGACAAGACAAGAGCTTTCTCTTCAAACAGGCAACGAATGGCACTTTGGTCATTACGATTGACTAAGGAAACTAGCCCTGTAATTCAATGAAAGGGACTTTCTGGGCATTAGGTCACTAGTTGTTCCTTCGATTATACTCACTGAATTAGGTTCAACACGACCAATCAAGTGAATGATAAATGATAAAGGCCCGAGGGAGTCATGTATGACCCATGCTCCAAGCACAGTCAAACCCAGCCACACTGAGAGGAGGAGGAGCACTGTGTTTGGAGCTTCCGCATCAATAACGTCAAAGAAATAGTCGTCCTGTTGAAGCTGCAATAAGGCAATGTTCTCCCATAACCCATAAGACATCAGAACTTGACAATTACTTGGACCGGAAGTTTCTTAGAAAGTTCTCATCCTTCATGGTCCCAATGAAATAGTCTAAGGAAAATAAGACTGTAAAGTTCCCACAAGAATGGAGCTCCTTTCTGACTCAAGGTCGGGAAGTTGGCGACCGCCCCTCAGCATTATTGCAAACCACACTTCTAGTTCCGCACCCTTGTTGCCGGCAACCTTTGGCTCTTGAAGGGGCTTCAGGTATGCACTACGAACTGGTAGTTATCTATGTACAATACGTAGCTATTTCATTTTCGTTTTGTTGGTGAAGCTGGGGATACTATAGGTACATATCTGGTATCGTAGGCATTCAACAACCCTCAATGAGAAGTCTGATTTTGGTGCAACCTACATGACATGTACGCTCCAAGACATGAGTTTCAGCTCCCTCGACTTCCCTACACATGTATGTATTACATTTACTAGTACTAGTCTAGCTTGTAGATATACTAGACTACCAGCTCTACTAGTTACCGGTAGCTAGCAAGGCCACCGACTACGCAGCTATTCATGAAAAGGATTCCATCATTTAGTTTTGCTCGTAGTCTAGTTCTCTTCAAGAATCTTCAATCGAATCGAATCGAATGGCGTTGTCTCAAGTCTCTTTTACGGCTGCTGAACTTCCTTGGTAAGCTGGGAAGGAGAAAGAACCACCAATTCGGGTTGTTCTCGAGTCTTGAGGAACGAGGTCTCTTGCGGTACTGTACTGTAGCCCAAGACCACAAAGCAGGTTCGACTGTATTGTGTGTCTTGCTGCGCTCAGACCTTTTAGACCACCAACGATCCACCAATCTTGAACTAGCTAGACCGCGGCTCTACATGTAGTTTCCTGCCGAACTTTTGCCTGCTGATCTTGATTTCTGCTACAAAGGCTTGGGGGTCGAATGATGAATCACCCATGCTGGCGGTCCGGGGATAGATTGAAATCAGCCGAAACTTCTAAATGTTATACTCAGTATGTACTATTCTTGGCCAAAGTGTCATTTTGGAAATGAACGGTTGTGGCATTTTCTGTCCAGCACTTCTCTGCATTCCCAACAGCAGTTGTATACATGCCACACACCACTTGCGAACTTGGTTTTTCTGTTTGCTCCCCAAACACATTTTCAACAAGGGCTTGAAGATTAGAAAGGAATTGGAATGCATAGCACTCTGTTGGGTCCAAACATGTTTCATAGGAAATCCAATTTGGACAGTCCTCTGCATTGAAGTATTCGCTACAGAGTGGTGGGACCTCCAGTTCATCCTCTGAATCACTCGAGGAGTTGCTGCTTGATGAGTCGGTATCATTCTTGGCTTCAATGAACTTGCCCAGTGCCCATGGTATCTGTTCGCATGCAAGCATCATGATGCTAAGCCTCTCAGTACCAGCAGGGCAAGATAAACAGTTCCCAAAGTACTCCTTCACAAAGAGGCCATCAAAGGATCCATGTACAACTTTTTCGCCATCCATGAAGAGGCCGAATTGCCCAGGGGCTTGCATGCCACGCTCCTCCCTGTTGTACATTGTAAATACGTAGCAAGAATCAGCCGGGATGCAACCCTCCTCAACAATTGTTGCAAAGGCATATTCCTCTGGGTATGTTTCTTGCTCAAAGAGAATCGCACCAGTAACATTGTCCTAAGATTCCAAACAACATCTCTGGGGAGCCTATCAAGCGTCAGCGATAGGCGTAGGAATGACATGCCAGTGGGGCACTCCTTTGATCCAGGTAGTGAGTAAACTGTGGTGACTCCGCCAATGCCATCTTGAGGAGTTCCGACTGCCAGCTCCCTTCCACTCGAAGACAAGGCAACTGGGTAATGGGTCAATGGAAAAGGATTACTCACGTCATTCCAAGATTCAGCTTCAGATTGCCACTCAAAAACTCTAACAAGTGTACCAACCCTGAAGGCGATCATTGATCCATCACCTGAAAGTGACAAGGCATTGTTTACATAAGGGCGCTCACTGTCAATGCAGTCTGTGATATTTGTTGTGGGGGAAGCCCGAGGCACCCACTCCCCTTCATCATTGAGTGCTTGGATATGAAGCTGTCGGTCCGAACACACTGGCAGGCCATAGCCAAGAACATTCCCATCTCGACTCCATGCCAGTGACATAGACATGTGAATATTGTTCACATGAGACTCAAACCGAAACTCAGTTTCAACATCATAGTCACCAGTTAACTCATCCCAGGCCATGACAACAATGTATTCATCAATAACAACGGGGAAGTTTGTGATTGGGTGTATTACTTTGACCTGGGATTGCACAGCAATTCTGCTACCATCTCCACTCAATGACAAGGAATGGACATCAGCCAGGGTACCATTTCTTGTACCATTTAAGTCTGCTCGGAACTCAAATAATCCTTCTTGCGCCTCATAAACCCGAATAGCTTTGGGAGCCTGACCAGATACAAATAAGGATGTTGCAACAACTGTACCATCGTCCGACAAAGCAAAGTCATAAACCAGTGGGATCTCTTGTGAAAGTGTACAACCATGAAAGTTGCATCTGTAGATTCGAAGAGTTCGATAGCCGTCTTGGACAGCAACTGGAAGGGGAGCTCTGAAGCTTGGGTTGCTGGCCACGTTGAAGGGTCCAGAAGAGAGGCCTAGTACTCCTGTTCCAAATCTTGTGTTTGGGGACCCCAAGATAGTATCTCGAAGGACCCAGGAGGACCCAACTTTGTCATAGATGCGAACACGGTCCTGCAACAGCTCCGACACAGCCAAGGACCCCCTGGAAAGATCCACGGCATAACCAGAATAGGAGCCGGCATCTCCATTCAATAGAGTGCTTTGCCATACATCCTTTGGCTGATTGCAATAGTAGTATCCTGTGCTGACATAGCCATTTTCTTCAGCTCCGCAAACATACTGAGATGTGCTTGCACAAGTAGATTCACAGCAATCCCCACCATCCATCTTCAACTCGGGAAAATTGTAGAAGGGGTCACAGTGTCCATTGCGGACTGAGGAAATGTGTAAGGAGAGGTCTTTAGCATTGATTGTACAAATGATTCCTTTGAGCTGAACGTACTCGGTGGGATTATGCCACTCTGTGTCATCCTTCTTATCATCGTCACTGGCAGAAGTCATTGTTGGCAATGCATATTCCTCCAGTTCCTCTTGGCCTTGGTTCTGTGCCAGCATGATTGGCTTGAGAAGGTGCGCCAACATGTCGAGATCCTTGGGGGTCAGCGATTCCATTATGGCTGATACACCACTGCCAAGAGTGGATGACGAGGAGTTGGCCATTGGTGCACCTTCTTTTGATGACTTTTGTGGTTGTTAGAGGTCCACCATTATTAAGGAATCCACGTCGACTTCATCCCTCACCGATGCCTGCAGAAGAGGATGCCTTTGGCTCTTGTTGTTGGGAGGTATGGTCATTCCGACCCCTTTCTTTTCTGTTTTTAAGGTCATAAGTATCCTGCGATTGGGTGGCGTTTATCGGTACCGTAACAGGCTTTCAATCCGTCTTCTAGAGATACTATTCGACTGGATCTTTGTATTCTGGTAGCAGACTGATCCTCGAGAATGATCCAACAGTCCCAACAACTTGCTTGAGATAAGCGGAGGATAGGAACATCGATAACCAAGGAGAGCGAAATTGGTTGTAGCGGCTTTTATAAGTGCAGATATCTTGACGCAAACAGAGATGACTGATCGACTCGGATGGTGGTTCCATGCAGTGTGGGTTGAGCTTCGATTGTTGTTTTGTTGGGAGGCGGGGGGTTAACGTTGTGAAGAGACCTCGCACGGAGACTCTCACTCCGTTCCTCGAAAGGCTCTTACCTTCGAGTGGAGTGAATGAGTGAATGACGATTGATCATTCGAGTCGTGGATAGATCGAGTCCTAATCCATTTTTGGGAGCGTTTTCAAAAATTCATTAGGGCTCTTTTTTGAGCTCTAATGAATTTTTGAAAACGCTCCCAAAAATTCATTAGGATTCGATTTATCCACGACTCGAATCGTCATTCGTCGTCGAAGTACATGTAACTTGAATGAAGCCATGCGAGTCTATGTTCGTACCGTAGATTGAAACGCTGTCTTTCACTTGCACCATCGAACAACAAACATGTTTTTTAACCAACACAGGTGCATACTAGCCTATATCCTTTGCCTAGTCTCCGTCTCTCTTTAACCATTTATCTAACTTAGAGCACCTTCACGTCGCGGGTCCCAAGGAGATGAGAGAGTGGAACGTTATGAAAAGGCAAGAAGACAAATGGGAAATGTATCTATCTACAGTAGCTATTTCTATCTACATCGTACCGTAGCTCGCCCAAGGCGGTGTCACAACCAAAGATGGCATCCATCTTGATTTGTGGACGTCTCGCACTGAAATGGCTTGCCCGTGCGGTACTCAAAGATAACGCATCCGATTTGAATTGTGTGTGCTTGCCTCCTCGTTTGAAACCTCCTCCTCCAAAACACCCAAAGATCTTTGAAGACAACAGAGCACGACGCAAAAGCATCGCAGCCTGGTGCTCCTCTTCCTCACTTGGTGTTGTCATTGTTGTTACTGTTCTATTCTGTTGTCAACAGTACCGTATACTAGTAGTACCACAGTATGAAGACGAGTGCGTACAAGAATCAGTGTAAGAAGCTGTTGGAGAATACGTTTCCTCGTGTGTCTTGTGCGGCGATCACGGCGGTGTTGGATCATGTCGAGTTTTCGTTTTCGGACGCGTTTGGTCTCTTGACGATGATGGATGGTTGCTTTCCCGACAATGACATGGCCAAAGCGACGGTTCTTTCTCGTGTTGTCATTCCTGCCAAGATTCGTGTCTTTCTCAAGAACAATCGTACCAAAAACAATAAGAAGCGATTCTACATTCGCAATGCCGCGCTGCAAGCCGAAATCGACGCCATTCCGCAGCTCCGTGCCAAAGAAAACAAGGTGCCGGTGGAAGTGATTGTTGTTGATGATGATGATGATGACGACGTGACGAAAGAGAATGACGGCGAGGTGGAGTGCGGTTGTTGCTACGGTGATTTTCGTCGTTCGGAGATGAGCGAGTGTTCGGGCAAGAGCGGTCATCTCGTCTGCAGTGAATGCATTTACCGTTTTGTCAGTGAGCAGCTGGATGGCAATGACAGTGTCCAATTCCAATGCATCATTCACCAAGACTGCAAGCACGTATACACCAATGCCCTTTTAGATCAGGTACTCTCCCCCAAACTCAAGCAGCGTACCAACGATCGCATCTTTCGAGAAGTCGTCAAGCAATCCGGATTGATCACTTGGCAGTGTCCTCAGTGTGCCTTTCTGGGAGTTGTCAGCGAACAAGACCAAAACTTTTCTACCATTGAGTGCACTCAGTGCAACCTTTTCTACTGCAAGGCGTGCCAGCAGCCCGAGCATCCCCGCAAGACATGCCAAGAGCTTCGCGAAGAACAAGAGCGCCTACGCAATCCTGTCCTTCGCGCACAGGAAGCCATGACACGGGCCGTCAAACGAGTGTGTCCCAACTGTCAAAAGGAATTTGTCAAGCGCGATGGATGCAACAAGATGAAGTGCGTCTGTGGGACTCTCTCTTGCTACCTGTGCGGCGTCCAAGTCCCAAACTATTCCCACTTTTGCAATCACAAAAATAAACCAAATGGACTCCCCTGCAATGCCTGTGGAAAACTCTGCGAGCTATGGACGCCCACCACTCAAATGGAATCGTTGGATCGCAAGGCTCGTCGCGAGGCGGGAACCAAAGTCTTGCAAGAAGCCGGCATGAGTCAGGAGGAAATCCAAAAACTCGTCATGTCGCCCACCAAGAACAACAACAACAAGAAGAAGAAGGCTCTTGTCCCACGACGTCAGATCCTACCGGCGCCGGAACGTCCCGTTGTGGTTGCGGTCGAGCCTGCTGTTGTGCCTGCTGTGATTGTCCCTCGACCCGTCGTGGAGCCTGCTGCGGTTGTCCCTCGACCTTATGTGGTGCCTGCTGCCCCAGAACGTCCCGCCGTGGTACCGGATCCAATCATCCCGCCACGTCCAGATGGAGACGACGACAACAACAACAATGTTCCGCAGCAGGAAATGATGGCACCACCAGATCAAGACAACGCTTGCACCATCTTGTAAAGAATGCATGCACGTTCGTTCGAGCACCATCTCCACCATGAGGAAAATACACTTCGGAAAGACTTGTGAACATTATGCCGTACGACATTCTATCGGTACCCAAAGCCACACTCAGGAAAACGACGCATCCAGAACGACAATACACATAGTAGTCAACAGATCTCAATAATACATGTAGTAGAGAAGGCATCTGAATGAAGTAGTTTAGAGCTAGAGGAGGTAGAAGAACGAATTTGGGGTCCCGGTGAGTATTGAGTATACTAGTACGGGTACCACGTACCGCTGCTCTTGGGTTACCGGTACCGGTAGGGCGCCATCACAATTGGGTCATGTAACTTTTAAAATAAAAGGCTTTAGAAACTCTATACTCTGTCTCAAAGCTGAAGACGGGGCGCTTGCCGAAGGATCCGTGCATATATATAGTTCTTTCCGATGCTCCGTGAAGCCGGACCTGGGTTGATGATGATGAAGGCAAGCCCCGGCACTGCATTCCCAAAAAATGGTCAGCCCCAGCACTACATTCCCTGCATTGAATGGCCCAACAAGTGTTTGCCCCAACACCAAATGGTTATGATACTTGGCATTTCAGATGGAGACTACTAGTAACTTTGAATCTCATTTCAGCCTGCAAATAGCTCCCGCAACATTTGCTGGCCATCATGATCTCACGATCTGCCCATAGTGCAAAGCTGACTTGGGGGTCACGTTGGTTCTTGTGGCGTGGCCCCGTTGGTGGTTGGTAGACTGGTGTATCATCCATGTGGTGGTGGATCCTGATCGATGTTGTGTTACGTACACTTTTTTCTTCAATAATTACTATAGTAGTTGTTGGCCATTAGGAATGCCTTCTTGCAATTAAAGCACTTGGACAGAGTAGTAAATGCCATGGCTCTTCTTTGCGCTAAACCTGGCCTTTGTTGGCTTCTGAAATTAGATAACTTTCCTAGATCGACTTGAAACCCATATCGATAGCCCACCCATAGTTGCGCGTTGCGGAACTTTCCACCGCTTTGTGCCAGGAATTGAGCTGAGGATAACTTCAATATGGTATCTGGTGCCGCACTCCAGATTCAAGCAAAAGAGGCGAAGCGAAACAGGCTCGTCGATAAGGCCCGGGAAGAGAAGGAACGCAAGAAACCAGAGCTACAAAGGAGCCAATCGAGATCTACAACGGTGCGGCGCAATAGCTGGCGCAACACAGCAACAACGTGCCGTGTGCACGCGAAATGGAATATTTTTGAGTGAGTGTGCGTTCCAAAGGCTCAGTCATGGATATGGGAAGGAGCTTTCGAAAGATCGCAAAAGATACCGTACTGTACCCCAGGTCCCGCATCCGGTAAGTCCCAAAGCTACCCAGATGCTATGGATATGGGTACTAGTACCATACTCTTGGAAAGATCGCAAAAGATACCCAGATGTTGTAAAATCTCTGGCAATTAAAGGACAACCTGGATCCGGCAAGTCACAAAGCTACCCAGATGCTATGGATATGCGCACAATCAGCCATACTCTTCGAAAGATCGCAAAAGATACCCAGATGCTGCCTGCATCCGGCAAGTCCCGAGCTAGCAAGGCTACCCGGATGCATGCTATGGATATGCAAAAGATCGCAAAGATACCCAGATGCTACTATATGTAGCCTCTTGCCAGGTGACAATGTCATGCATGATACCCAGATGCCGCTCGTCTCTGGCAAACAACGATCGAGGACCCTGGTACTATCAACAGTAGTGCTGCTGTAGAGTAGCTAATAGCCGGCAAATATTGAGGCAAGCAAAGGACAACAATCTAGGCTCACAATTTAAACTTCCAGCAGCTCCAAAGCAACCAGCCAACCAACCAAAGTCAAGTCAATAACTCCAACAACAAAAAATCCAAGATGATGCGCATTTCGTTCCTCTCCATGCTCCTTGCAGTCTTGATTGTCATGGCGTCTGCTTCCCACCACGATGAAGCCGGTCGTGTAAGTTCATTGCTGTTGTTGCTTCTTTGTCTTGCTTGCTTGCTTGTCCTCTCTTGCTTGTAGCTCATCCATCCACTCTTACATACATGAATGTTTCAGGCGCTTCGCACCCCTGCTTCCCACCAGCACAAGAACAAGCATGTAAGTCGACTGCCTGCTGGCTGCTGTTGCTTCTTTTTGTCTTTCTACTTGGTTGGCTGGCTGGTTGTGCTTTGTACTACTAGCTATTGCTCATCCACTGTCTGTCTCACACACACACACACACATCCATGCGTGCATGCATACATGAATATTAAATTTCAGGAGACTCGCAAACTTGAAGAAAGTGGAGACAGTGGAGACAGTGGAGACGGTGAAGGTGAAAGTGGTGATGATGCTGATGATACTGACGATGAGGACTGCTATGATGCGTGCTGGGGTGACGCTACTGACGAAGACATTGGGGCCTGGACTGAGGACCAATGGATTGAATGGGAGACATGTGCTGATTCCGCCTGTGATTGCGCCGATGACGAATGCGCAGCTGATCCGGATTGTGTGGAGGCTACCTGCAATTAGATGCAATCCATAGGAACGGAAGGACGGATGGAAGGAAGGATGGAAAGAATGAAGGCTGGAAGGAACGGTGGAAGGAAGGAGGAGAATGTAAAGATGGCTGGGCATCATCAAGCAAGATGTGCAAGGATGATTGGTTGGTCTGTTGGTTTGCTGGCGAGTTGCTCCACATTTGGTTCTATTGAGTGAGCGATGGCTGGCTGCATGTCATGATGTGCGGCTGGCTATAAGAAGAAAGAAAGAAAGAAGGAGTGTGTGTTGCAGCAATTCCCAGCGACTGGCTACAAGCAAGCAATTTTGGATGCCTTCAGTTTAGAGGTGAATTACTTTTAGCAAAGCAAGCAGCATCTAAATCTAAAAAAGATAAGCAAAATGAAATGAATGGAATCAAATCAAATCAATCAATAACAATGTGAGCACTGGTAGCTAGCTACGAATGATATTTGGCTGCTTCAATCGCTCAAGCAACCTAGACTACTTAGCTATGGTAAAGACAAGTCGAGTCAGAGTCGCGACGAACGACAGTCCAGTCACCGTTGCTTGCTACGTTCGCTCTGGCTGATCCGCTCACTCTGTTCGTGGCTTGGCGGCTGCCCCTGTGGTGGCCGAACCTCTGCAGTTTAAAAGCTGGGCTTTGTCTGTAACGCCACCTGCATGGATGGATGCATTTTTGACTATAGCTACATAGCTACTGGTATCTACGGCTGTACGGTAGATGGTGGTTGCCCACGAAGTCTCACTCTATTGGCCTGAAGACGGAGCTAGCTAGATAGAGCTAATGCAGTGTGATGATAGATGGGTAAAACTTCTTATAGATCATATATATGAGAGATAGCTAATGAGAGTGAAATGCATATGAATGAATGAACGGATCAAAACCTGCTGACTTGACTTGCTGAGAGCTTTATACCGACGCTCGTAGGTTACGAGGTTCCTTGCCGCCCATCCGAGGAGACGGCTTGGTGAGGGTGCTGGATCGTCTGTTGGACTTAGCCGGCGCAGCTGCTGGAGAATTCTTGAGTCCTTGCAGGGCTTCCAATGCGTAATCGGTGTCTTGCTGTGCGTACATTTCGAGCATGGCAATCATATCGTGAGGATCCATTTGCTTCATACTCTCCGTGACAAACTCGGCCTTGCTCTTCGGCTTGTTCTCTTGAATGGGCACCATCACTTCCACGCCCTTCATACCGTGGCTCGTCGTGGAACGACGGCGTTGCTGCTTGTCTTGCTTCTGTTGTTGTTTGGGCTTGTAGTTGATGCTGTCAGCCGTGCGGGCGCGACGGATAATGTTCTGAATGCGTTGGAGGTTGTTAGTAGAAGAACCAGAAGAAGAGCTGGCGTCTGTCATCATGGTGGTGTTGGTCATCTTTTGATGTTGTACGGTGGTAGTAGTAGTAGTAGTAGTAGTAGCTTGGTAAAAGAAAGATTTGCTTTTTGTTGTTGATGCTTTCAAGATTGTGAGAACTTGGATTGTGAGAGAGTTTGATGAGTTTGGGATTCGAGATCCGTTTTTGGTTTTGCTTGGTGTAGTCGGAGTGCATTATTTATTTGAGAAGCAGAACTCGCAGAAACAAACGTTGGGAAGCACTGCGTTTTAGTATAGCATTTAGTGTACTTTGACGAACAACCAATCAGAACCATCAACTGCAAGTTCTCGAAGATGCAGTCTTGGCTCTTGGTGCTTCCTGGAGATGACAGCTATGCTAGCCAGTGTCAGCTATCAATAGTATGACATGTCATACTGGAGTACGGTTTATGAGCTGTTTTTATGCATCCCTCAGCGAATTCGGGTCCATGCCCCACAAGATATCTAGTGACTCACATGTTAATAATTGATCAAAAGCCAAATGACCTAGACACAATCATAGAGTTCATAATGACGGTTCAATTCAACTTATGGGGCTGGGCACTGACATTGAATTAAGTCAGTAGCAACTCTTGTGTCTTAACGTTATACATCGACTGACATTTACTCTTTAAAACCTATTGCTTTATGGTTTTTATAGTGCGTTCATAGGGGACTGACATGCTCTTATATCCATCCAATTTTGTGGTGGCATTGAAATACGTAAACCATCTCTTTCATTCTTATCGTTAAGCATCGCTTGGAATTGACCCTAATGATTTAAAAGGACATTTATTTTTTTTATCGTTCTGAAAGGACGAAAACAGGTGAATGACTTGCTCTTATGTCCAACAATATTTCTTATTGACATTCCTACCCCCTGCAGTGAATTATAGGTTCACACTGGGTCAGTTGGTGGTTTCTTTCTCGATGAAACTTCCTATCAATCTTGGGAAGCAAGCAAGAAACCACTTGGGAACTGGGACGTCTGTGAGCTCGTTTGTACACTGTATTACATGTAAGAGAGCTGGCACACCCATTTTCGTGCTGTAGGGTACCCTATTACCCTATTATCGTCCTAAAACCTAAAACACTACATAGGGCTGTGCCGTATTATTGCTTGACAGGGAGAAGACTTTCCTGCTGCGAATCTTTGGGAAGCAATGCTTACTTGCTTCGAGCTGCTTGGATACCGGTACCGGTACCGCTACTTTACATCCTCTACCGCACTTCACACCCTTATAAAAAAGACTACTAGCTAGCTGGACTAGCTAGTAGACTATCAGGAACAGTGATGGTTTTGGGTGGGCTGAGCTTCAAGCTTCCGAAATAAAGTAAGTGCTGCCCAGGTTAAAACGGAGGCAGTATGGTACCTTCCACAGTGGTTTCAAGGTTTCAAGGTCTCCAGCAACCGCCAAACAGCTAGAACTAGACAGTATGGAATGTTCGTTCTGCTGGCTGCTGCTGTATTGAAGTACCGGTACTAGCTGGCTAGCTACATGTAGTTGCTCCTCAAGCTAGCTAGCTAGCTGATAGAGAACGTACGATCGTAGTGTGATCTTAGCTTTGTAATGAGGTTTGGACGGGGTTGCTTGTAAGAGAAGGGGAGACGATGGTTTCAGCATCAGCTCGGGGAATTGCGAAACCACTGTTGAGTAAACCTTCCAAACCCACCCCGTTGCCACTGGGAGACGAGTAACCACCTCTCTTCTCTCCTTTCAGCCGGCAACTGACGGTGCTGGTCGCTACCTTGTACAGCGGAGCAATCGAAGCTCAAAACAAGAATCATCCATTCCAATCCAGGAAGGAGGCTTTGGCAATGAGAAGCAGCTGCGCACGGCACTTTCAAAGGAGCACCGATCACTGGCTGCATCTATCAGAAGCTACAGTAGATAAGTTGGTTACAAGTCAGAAGCAAAACTGAAGAATGATAGTTGATGCAGTGATCAATCAAATCTAGCTAGTAAGAACCCCCAAGATATGCTGGACTGTGATTAGCCTTCCCGTCTGCCCAACAAGCAAAGCAAAGCACGCCCACACAAACCTCGCAATTGCCCGTTGGCTTGCGTGTCGCAACTCACAGTGTCATTGCCCGTCGTTTCCAAGCCCACCACGCTTATTGGAGGTGGTGCTAGTGAGTAGGCAGTTGAAACAAACAGTTACTCTGAAAACTATCTGCAAAGCTTGTAGATTTACAGTTGCTACTAAAACAAACGCCACGTAGTGTCGCCAGAACTTTATCAACCCAACAAACAAATAATGAGGCGACCCCTGTAACCTCGCACAGCAACGAAACTGTTAGGAGAAACCCAACACTTGCTTACAACATGTAGTTTGCAGCGGGGGCTCACTGGCATCCACGTCGGCTGAAGCTTTGAAGGTCGAAAGTCCAAGGAAACTGTTGCATCCTAACAAACAAGAACGATGGAAAAGATGGCTAGTAAGGTGCTTTCCTCGGATACATGTTTCGGTAGATTGTTAGGGCTCGTCCGCCCGAACTAGGTGAACGGTTGGTCACTGGCATGTGCCTCTGGTGCATATTGGGAGCGGCGATAGGAAGGAAAGGTGCTACTTGTATAGAACCTAGAAGTTTTTAAACTTTGCAGCCAGTGTTCCAACTACCGGAACCTAGACCATTCACTGCCAGCTAGCTAGCCTTCTGCCGCCTTCCCGAAAAAGAATGGATAAAAGCTGCTATCGGTACGGTAGCTAGTTTGCTGGCTCTTTTCATTCCTCCTTCTTCCTAGCTAGTTTGCTTCCTTCGTTCCTCCTTGGTTTCAAATTCCAGGCTCGGATAACATTCCATACACTCTCTGGCTATGGACGAAGGCGACAAGAGGCCTGAGCATTCGTTACGGTGCCGTTTTGCACACGAGTGGAACAAAAAAATCAACTCCCACGCATTTCCAAGCATGTCTGCAAAAATTCTGCATTGGACTCGACTCGATCACTGGCATACTAGTACTAGTATGGCATACGGCACAAACTCGAATGAGTTGTCGAGCACTCTTCGAATCACTTTTAGCAAACTTGGTGCTTGCGACTGCCTCAGGCTAACGCACCTCAGACAAGCACCTTGAAAGCAGTCTATTCCCGCTGCTCAATCCTCACCGACGCTGAACTTGCTCCTCATCAGTTGATTCGCTCATGCTGTCCCAAACGATCTTCCTACTGTACGAAGAATGGGTTGGAATCTTCTGAAAGTGGTTTCCGGGGGTCAGTTATGCAATGCCATACCGGTAGCTATCAGAGCATAACTTGAGGCCAATGAGTGGATTCAGGCTTCGAACTTCCACCCAACAAACCCTGCATACGGTGCGGCACGGGTACATCCTCATCCAAACAGAAAGCCGAGCCATTGCTACAGATCTTAGAGTGAGATACCCAATCCCACTCACATGCTAAATAACCATTAATGCCCATCTATAGCTTTTCACTCTATTATGTCTTTTCTAAAAGCTGGAGTCGGTACGGGTACCACAATGCATTGTCCTCCATTGCCACCACGCCGAGCAACAGCAAAGGGGAGACTAGCTAGAAGATATCAATGTCCTCCAAAAGCATGGCCCCAAAGCGTCCACCGTGTTGAAAGAGCATGTTTCCACCATGAAGGATCTCTTGAGTCGCTTGATCAACCTCATACTCAGTCATATCGATCACTTCCACCCCACCAGTGCCGCTTCCAAAGATGTTGTGCACTGCAAGCTGGTAAGGCCCTGTCACAACTCCAGGTGCAATCTTTGTGACCACACCCGCCTCCGAAACTTCGCCATAGTCAGACCAAAGAACCGGGTATCCTGTCCTAGTGTCGGTCAAGGACCATGCCACATTCTGTGCATCTTCATTGTAGGTGACCGAAACTGCTACGGATCTTGTGCCACTTCCATATTCTTTGGTGTTGTCTTCTTCGTTGCTGCTTCGTTCTTGGATGCCGTTGCTTCCTCCACCAGTTTCAGGCAACTGCACAGCCGGAGGATTCGTAGCAGGAAGTGACTTGCATTCCCAAGCACAAGAACGAGAGTTGAAGACGGCAGCTGAATTAGGTGGGCAAGGACCTGGTACAGGGTTTCTGACAGGATCGTAGGCACATGTTTTCTTAGCTCGCCGTGCCACAGAGTTCGGCTTTTGCTCTCCGCGTAGTCCCTTTTTCAAAGGCTCCGAAGCGGATACATGATCGGCAGTAGCCGAAAACGTGATGACGATTGCAACGGTGATCAATGAAGAGATCTTCATGGCTGTTCGTTCCTCGTTGCTTGTTCTGTTGTGTAGCTTGCTGTTATTATTGTGCTTTACGTTTTGTTTTGTGTTTTTGTTTTGTGAGCTCCAGAGGAAACCTACAGGCTGGCGGAGAGTGCCAAACGAGTTCTGGATGGATCGCAGTTTGCCAAGTTGAAGTTGGCCTCACAAGCTATGTCAACCAGTATCAACGTATACATTATGTTGTTTCTCGCCTAAAACAGTGCACCACTGCCAAGCAAGTCTGTAACACGCAAAGATCACGTACGAATCATGGCAAACTACTGCCGATACCCGAGAACTACATCCTGCAGTATCTTCATTCTTTGCCCCTGACCGCTCAGCAGCCAGCCATCGATTGCCACCTTGGTCGAATGTGGATCTATTTGCTGTTTCCTTGTTGCTTGCTTGACCACTCAGCAACAATGCACAACCCGACAGCCATGCATACGGAGTATACTCTTTCTATCGGGCCACTGCATATCCACTCTGTTGCAAGTGGAGCTGATTCGCCCTCTTTTTGCACAACTTTAGCATCTTGCTTGGATCATGCAGCAAACCAACAACTCCCACGGTTCCCCATGTGTGACTGGAAACGAACTCCTGCCAAGCCATCATCGATCTTGCCAGGAATAGGTGGTACCGGTCCATGTAGGAACCCTCGGTGTTTGGACAGATGGCCATGCTGCTGGTCCCAGCACAGAGGAGACAATCGCAAAGCCCAAGGCCAAAGAGGCGACAGCTCCAGCAACGAGGAAAAGCCTCAGAGCCTCTCAGGTCCGTCCGATCAGCAGGCCAGCTCAAAGCGGCATGAGCCATCACTCGAAACGGGCTTCCTTTGTCGCTCATGGGTGAGTACCGGTAAACAAAGACATCTTGCAAAGACGCAAAGACCTCTATCGCCGAGGGTCAATAACAAGAGTACATGACCAAGACTTGAACACAGACACGGGAGGCCTATCCCATTCGATTCGATTCAACTTCGCCGCTAGCTGGCAAAACCCAATGCCGACCCAGCTGAAGAACAACCATGTCAAGCACTGAATGTATTCAATGAGCTTTTCAATGCTGGGTCTGAAGAGCCAGAGTGTTGACTGCTTCACCGCACCCTATCTCCCTTCTGATGGTGCTGATGAATGAACTTACAGTGGTACATGCCGGTACCGCATCTTATTACTTATCAAAAGAATCAGTGGAAAGTCCATTTTCCCAGAACTTCGAATGAGCTTGATTTGAGCGCTGCAAAGAACATCTAATCGTATTATGTTTATGAATAACAACGCTGTATGACTGTATGACCTTACCATTGAGCAGCTCATTGAGCTATGTTTGTGGAAAGACGAGCAGATCAGAAATGCCTTTCGGAAACAGAGGATATAAAGCCAAAGGAAGACTAAATCTAGCGCCAATAAGAGTGAGAGACCAATTGCCTTAGGATTTACTGCCGTAGTTTGGGCTGAAGATTTATTTGAAGAGCACAATTACATTACCAGCACAGTCATTGTACACACCAATTTCGCCAGTTTGTTCAAGACGTTCGTTGTGGTTCGTCATTATTTCTGGTCATTGAGCACATCAATACCAGTATTATGTGTCTCGGAGCAGTCTCGGTGATGACCCAGGGCCCTTTCAATGTTCAGTCTGGGCTCTAGGACATAAAAGCCCACTGTTGAAGGCAATTCAGCTGTTCGGGGTCATTGCTCCATTCGTTCCCAAAACGCCGCTGCGGTTCTGAGTTCAGAGATTGAGGACATGAATACCGGTGAAAAAACTTGGAAGGACTCATGTATCTTCCACTCCATCAAATCATTCTCAGGTCTCACAATTTCAAACTCAGCAAAAGCAAAACCACCACCAAGCAAAACCAAGCAAAACCAAGCAAACCCAAGCAAACATACACACACACACATACACACACAATGATGATGTTCAAAGATTTCAGTCTCGGCAGCAGCAACAGCGACCACAGCACCACAAGCACACGATCCGACAGGTCCACCTCTTCCAAGTCGTCCTCCAAGTCCAAAAAGTCGTCCTCCTCTTCCAGAAGCAGCAGCAAGAAGACCAAGGGCGAGTTTGTGGCAGAGAGCATGAAGGAAATGAGTCCTCATCTGATGATTCAAATGTTGGAGATGTACGCGGAAAATGACAATCAAGTCGCCTTTGAAGCTTTTCAGGGCCTCAAAAACTCATCAGATACTTCTTCTTCGTCTACTCGCAAGAGCAAGCGACGATCATGATCACCTCCACACACGGCACTTCCCAAAACTTGCTTCCTACTCCAATTCAGAAGCTTTCTTTCATAACTAAACTGTATCATAGATTTCCAATTACTATCAAAGAGTATCCCTGTATCTACCCCTGCCTGAACTAGCTTCGAATACGCCACCTGGTTGCTTCTTGACGACTTGGCTTGTGCAGTACACTTTGTATGCATTCAGCAACCAATGAGCGATGGCACAATGGCAATTTAGCGACCACTGACCCACATCGCCGAGTGCAACCCTGAAGTTCCCTGAACCACTTGAACCTTACTTGTTGGGATCCTGCGTTGGCTGCGCCCTCGGAGTTGGTGAGCCCACTACAATGCTGCCGGTACATTGGTAGAGGGGGCTTGAAACAGCCAAACAGACAGGCAGCGGGTAGACAAGGTGGCAAGGAACCACTGTTACCGGTACCCAAGGTCTACAGCATTGAGATTGTGCCTGCTGGACCCGGGAGAGCTCAGAGTCAAACCGTGTCCAGCCACAATACAGAAATAGTAACTCTGAGATATCACTGTCGCCCGGGGAGGCAGCTCCGGCAAAGAAGTGGACGTACGGCGGTCGCCGTTGCTTGTTGCGGCACAGCGAGGGTACGTGCGGTTGTTCTCGGTGGCAGCCAAAGCTGTGTAACGAGCAAACATGTCCAAACTACTACCGTAGCTAAGCAGCACGCAAAAAGTCAAGAAGAACGGACACTCTTCCGGTTGCTCGATGAAGTATCATGAAAGCCACCGCGACTGAGAAACAGTGGCCCTGACTCTCCCTGTACTGCCTCCTTTTGGCTTCGCCTCGGAGCCAGCCATGTCTGCAAGCAAGTACGGTCAAGATGTCATCGTCATACAGTGGGATCAGCTAAGGATCCCCATGGCCTGGGATGATCCAACAAGCGAAAGTTCAAATCCAACAAACGCAACAAACCCAAGGACGAGGATTGGTTGAGCTCGCAGCCCTGAGACCCTGTAATCCTCATTGGAGCGTTTTCTCGCCACCTGCCCAGTCCTAGTACACTGTTGGCGACGCAACTGCTCCTTTCTATGGTCATCAGACTTATTGGTTGCTTCACCTATTCATCGATGGATGGTCCATTAGGATTTATTGATTTGAAATTTCGTCACGTTGTTAGTGTCCAACACTGACGTGGCCACGACTAGCGGTACGATTTGGCTTCAGGTACCGGTTCATGTAGGTAACGTTGTCCTTCGCCTTCCCCGAAGCCCCCTACACTTCGCACTCTTTTTCTCTTTTTACTACATGGCACAAAGTGCAGCGTTTGTTACTCTACCGGTATGGCCATAGTAGTCTAGTCATTCGCCCTGGCTGCAAGGTGGCTACTAGCCAGCACGCACGGTAGAGGCTTCTTGCTGCTCGTACTAGTAGCAACACTGCAGCCATATACTTGCTGCGACTGCCAAGTACTCCAGTAATATGGAGCAATCTCCGAGCACCACCACCCCTGTGGCTGGGCTGTTCCAGTACGAAAGAGATTCCACTGTTGGTGCACATTAAACTTTTTACTACAGTACTTTCCAGCCAACCCTTCTTTTCCAACAGGACACAACCAAAGACTGCTTGGTCAATGGAAAAGAGAATCGTGCCATGGAGGGCGTCAATGAAGGTACCGGTAGATAGCTGCAGACTGGACTTGCTTGACATCATGTTGGAGGCTATTTTCTCGCTCCTGGGGTGTCGTCTTCTACTGGTTTGGAGATCTCCAGCATCTGCCGCCTGTACCAGTATACACTGCTTGTCATCCGTCATCTGTCAATCAGTACCAGCAACTATGAGGTGAGACTACGTGTAGGTAGATAGCTAGTGAAGACTTCGTCTCTCAACAGAAAGTGTCTAGCTAGTAGGCAGCGCCTGGGAGACTGCTTCTACAGTAAAAGCTGGAGGCCGTGTACGGTATGCGAGCGGAGAAGGCAAACCGCGGCTCCTGTAGCTAGACAGATACCAGTGGTTGCGAAGCCATGCTGAAATGCTAGGCACTGCCGCAAGCAGCTCAAACTCCTAAAGCAAAGATTAATATGATTGTCTATGACAATCCTGGAGCAAGGAGCAATGGCTGCTTGGTGATGGGTATCTTGGGCCTCTGGGAAACCAGCCAAACAGCAGGTTGTCCAGTCTCTGGAAAAGTTTTGCTGGAGCCCCTACCACAGCCCATCCACATTCACATCACACCAAGGATTCGCTAGGATTCGCTAGGATTCGAATCCAAGTTCCAAGGAATACATGTAAAACGACAATGAAGAGGTGAGAGGGGAGAGAGCTGATGAACGCAACCTGTGAACCTGTTGAGCAATTCTGTGGATCAGTTTCTAAAGTTGTTATATCCTTGTCCAGTACAATGTCATGTACAGTGACGCGAGCTTCCATCAAGGAATGAGTACATGCTTTAAACCATCCAGATTGAGTATCAATCATAGCGAATTAATTGCCCTTCTCCGGTAGGTTTCTCTAACATAGATGCCGTACCCGTGACGAAAATGCATGCAGAGAGAGAAGTTGTCACCGGCACACTCACCGGTACCGGTACGTGTGTTCTACAGCTGTTCTGCTGGGTGTATTGAGAACCCTGATCAGCATAATATATTTACCCTTGAACCACTCTAGCTAGCTACGGTACATGTAGCCAGCTACCGGTATGACATACCGGTAGCGAAGTGAGCCGAACAACCAAAAACCAAATCCAAAACCAAACCTCTCCCAAATTCCACAATTCGAGCTCCGCAATCTCAAGAAGCAACTTCTCAAGAAGCGACTTCTAAAAACTGACCCACGCCCAACCCAAGCAAACAACCATCTATCAATCAAAATGCAACTTGGACTTCGCAGCAGTGGCCGGAAGAGTTCCATGAGATCTTCTACCGGTAGCGGTCCCACCATGGACGATAGTTCCAAGACAGGCTCGTCCTCTAATAACGGTACCAGTACTTCCCGCAAGAGCCGCAGTGAGTTTTTGGCTCAGAGCATGAAGGAAATGGATCCCCAAAAGATGATTGAATTGTTGGAAATGTATGGCCAATCGTCAGAAGGTGACAATCATGGCTTTGACTGCTTGCAGAGCATCAAAAACTCCTCTCAAACCTCCATGTCCTCATTGCCAGAAGTGGCTCCCCCCAAAAAACACAAAAAGAGCAAGAAATCTTCCAATTTTTCAAAGGCTGCATAATAAGGGTATACCGTATGCTGGACCTCTCCTTGCTTCTAGACCCAGCCTTGCTCCAATTTAGATACTCTTCCTGCATGCAACCGTAACACTAACTAGGAACTCTATTCATCACTGATCGCGGTCTTTCAACTTTACTAGTTTGCTGGCTGGCTAGGCGTGGGACATGGGTAGAATGCTAGCCAGGCGTCAGGTTCCTGTATGCATGTTCCTGCGTGTCAGGCTTTCTGATCAAGAAAGGCACTGTCATTTGAAGGTCCAGTGGCGGCATTCTTCTTGGAGGTTTACTTACACCCCCGAAGAATTGTGAGAGATTGCTCTGGTTGGAGGGAGTACCTTCGGGCTACAGAGCGAACTGAGATTCTTCCATTGTTCCACTTTGTCGCTCCAGCAATGAGTGCTGGAGGCGTCTACTATCTTATTGGCTGGCTTAGCCAAACGACGTAAAAAACCAGCGCTTCAAACCCAAATTTAGGAACCCATGACGGTGGGATACCTTTCATTTCTGCTTGTCTGGCTGTTCACGAGAAACGCCGTAACGGCGTCACACCCTCTCAGAAGGTCAGTGTGGCCGGCGAGCAGACTTGACGACGAGCGACTGTGGGAAACACCCGGGCCTCGTCTCGGCTCATGCGTTTTCCTCAAGCACTTCATGTCTTTTAAATCGGTTAATAGATCTATTTGTTTTTGTGGAGCTGGAACACCCAGCAGGATAACATTTGGCTGCCTATACATTCGATCGTCGGTAGCCACGGTAGGGATTCTGTCCTCTTCGGGTTTTCAACGACATCACAGTACCGTACTACCGGTTTATGGCTCCGTCCTGTGCAATGCGTGTAGCAAAGCTGCCCCGTTCCTTCCGTAACAAGGAGTCTCCTTGACTTGCCTTCGGGGCAGGGTGCTGTCTACGGGACTTTATGGGGGGGTTAGGCAGCAGCGCGGGGGAGGGAAAAGAAAAAAGAAAGGGAGAGGGTTATCAGTTGGATTCCCAATTCCGACGTTGAGAGCATGCATCGCTCATCCATCAGTCATTTCGACACCTGGTAAATACACGAGAGAGAGGGGAAACGGCAATGACTGCATGTGTCTCCTAATTCTTCTCCCCTGCGACATCCGAAGAACAAGAAAATACGTCAGAATGTATGTCAACCATGTACGTCAACGGTATCAGTCAATTCAAATCTTCAACGGCTCCTCGCTGGCTCATCCTTCCCATTCCCTCGCTCGCACCACACCTTCCCACAATTCAAATCTCCGAATCTCCGAATCGCTCTTGTTGTTGTTCTTGTTGTCGATAAGGTAAGAGAATGGTCGACAATGGTGTTATTGCTGTTGTCTGCTACTGCTATTACTGTTCTAACATTGTTTCTCGATTCATTTGGGTCGGTCGGCTCCTCCAATATCGATCGATGGCTCCGCTACTACTACTTCCTCTACCGACGCTCCTTCCTCTACGGACACTCCTTCCTCTACCGACGCTCCTTAGTTTGTCCTGAAGTCAGCGCCTACGTGGGTAGGGGCAAGACACTTGACAACAACAACAACAACTACAACTACTACTACTATTACTTCCTCTACCGACGCTCCTTCCTCTACGGACGATCAAACGAAACTCGGAAGGAACCTCTACGGAGGATTCGGATCGGCGGGCAACGAGATCGGAGATCGCCACAACAACAACAACTTGACCATGAGGATCGAAACTACTCCTGGCTTCTCAAAGTGGCTGGTGCAACGTCATTCCTACCCATTCAATGAGCTGAGAGTTACAAGGCATGGATTCACTTGCAAGTATGTCATTTGTGGGTTCAACAGTGATGATGAGGATAACTTCTGTTTGGCCACAACAAGCCTGGAAGTGACTGTTCTTGAGGAGATGATATTGCAAGGAGCATGCAAGCCACTTCCTCCTGCCATGACCGATGTCATGGATTACATGCTTGGTCCAGGTCTTCAGAAAAGTCCAAAATGGTTCAGAGCTGTCATCTCCACTCTTTCTGAAATGTTGGAGTCGCCACATCCCTCTGGCTGTGAAAGGAAGGACATCTTCATTGAGTGCATCTATTGGTTGGTGAGGGAAAGGGTCAGTGAGAGCTATGAGGTGTCCTCCCTCGAAGGACGGAGTGTGATGGATGCTTGGCATTATTATTGTTGCCACTGGTATGACTACAAGAAGAAGATTAAATCCTTCAAGCATTTGACTGAGATGAGTGAGACTATGGCTGTTGATTTCATGGGCATTGACTCAGATGATATGTAAGTTACTGGCTAAATTAGAAATGAATTTGGTGGATCTAAACATTGATTGCTTGTTGCTACTTCCCATACCCAGTCAATCTTGATTGGCAATTATGATCATGAGGTGGTCTTCCTCTCCTGTTGGTCAACCACTGGCAGTATCTCTGACAGCAGCCATTCGGTGGAGGAGGTGGCTGGAAAGGAGATGGCAGTATTGCTTGGAATTGCTGCTGCATTAAGGCAAGTTGCATCATTTGAATCTGGTGTTGTTGCTGATAGAGTATCAGGTTACCAATGTAAGAATTTCTTGTTTGTGCTACAGGAGGAGCTGCTTGTGGAGGTGATTGGGTGGGTGGCGGCGGCGCGTGCTGTGAACCCCCCCATAGCTGTTGGCAGTCGGTGTGGTTCCAGTTTGCTGGGTTTGCTGTTGATTTCTGGCTGCTTTTGGACTCGATTTGGCTGGTGGCGTCTGGTGGTTGTGGTAGTCCTCAGGTACAAGGGTCACACACAAATTCAAACATATTTTCCTTTGGTCATACCTGTTTCGTCTGTGCTGGCTTGAATCCAAATCTAACATAACCACTCTAGAGAAGAACTCTCTCACATTCATTCCTGACTCTCGGATCAAGATGATTAGCTCCACCAATTCTGTTTCAGCGGTCTGCTACTAGTATCTAGCTGATAAGGAATGGTTCATTGAGACCCCCAGCCACTGCTAGCTCATGTTAGGAGCCAAGCTGCTGAATTGATTCCTTGTAAGCGATAAACCTTCCATGCCGGCTGGCTCACATTGGACCTCCTCTTCTGCCACATGCAATATCTTGAGGGGAGGCTCCCCTCTGTGTCATGTGTCTAAACTTTTGGAGGTTGAAGCTTTGCATGGTTCCAGCCAAGCTTATGAGTTGCATCACAAGGGTTCGTTCTTTCATTCCACTGACTCTTACATATTTGCCAAAATGGGGGGCGCAACTTGGTCATGGAATGTTCCAGTTTTGGATTCTCCTCTCTTTTGTAGGTACGCAAC